GCCTCCTGGCTCACAGAGGCCGAGGGCTCCTGTGGCTGAAAGCGCTGAGGTCTGGAGAGAGACGGGGCTGCCGGCTGAGAAGCGCTGCTGTGGCCCAGTGACGGTCCGTGCTGCCGACGGGTCCCGGCTTGGGCTCACCTCCCTAGGAAGCCCACTCAACCAGGAATACTGTCCGGGAGTTCTATGTAGCCATCACGACGGATTATCGAACTCAACAGAGAAGTAGGAGGTGCAGTGGGTTTTAGAACAGGGCCAAGAAAGGGAGGGGGTGGAGGCATGCCTGACCCCTGCCTTGTGGCCATCGACCTTGAGTTGATGTGTTTACTTAATAATAAGTCAAAAACATTCTGTTCAAGAGCAGGAAAACCTTAGGCATGTTTTAGAAAGGAAGGAAGTAATTAGAAGAAAACGAGGCTTTCTCAAAGAGTCCACACTGGCTCCTCCCAAGGCCTACCTTGTAGATGGCCTTTTTGTTTGGATTGGACTCCATGGCAATGAGTTTTAGGGTTTTTGTTTTTGACTTAACTGCTACCAAAGGGCTGGGTGAGGCTATGCAAATAAGGTGCTTATGGCCCACCAATGGGAGTAGATGGACTGTTAAGAATGCAAATGAGGTGCATAGTGCCCTGGGGATTGGGGAGGGGAATGGGGTCATGCAGAGTGATGGAACCCCAAGGGGATTGGTCAGTTTGGCTTAAACTGAGTCATCCTAGAGATGGAAGGAGCAGGGCAGCCCACGACCTCCAAGATCACCCAGAAGCAATGATGCAGAGCACATCTGCTGGAGCCCCCGACCCTGCTGAGCTAGATGGCAAGAAGCTACAGCAGAAAATTGGGGGCTACAGAACCAGGAAACCAGCACAAGACAGTGTGGTAGGCTTTACAGAGCAACAGAGCACCTGGGAGCAGCAGACTCCTGGTGGAGTGGGGCACCTCTGGGCCCTTGGAGGAGGAACTGAAGAGCAGGGCAGGCTCAAGGGGCTAAGAGGCCAAGGGCCAGCAACAGGTCTGCCTATGGGTATGGCTATAAAGCAGCTGTACTGACCAAAGAACTGTACCCTGAGTCATCCCTGATCGTGAATTGTAGCCTGTTACTTCCCAAATGAAAGGAGCCCTGGTGGCGGAGTGGGTTACACATCGGGCTGCTAACTGCAAGGTCGGCAGTTCAAACCCACCAGCTGCTCTGCTGATAAAAGATGGGGCTTTCTGCTCCCATAAAAAATTAGTCTCGGAAACTCGAGGGAGCAGTTCTGCTGTGCCCTAGTGGATTGCTATGAGTCAGGTTCGATTCAGCGGCAGTGGGTCCTTCCCTGGTACACCCTGTCACTGTGAATAGTGACTAAGCATCTTGTACAGCCATTGTGCCAACATAGAAACCAACAAAGAAAGATGAGGGACAGCTATTGGCAGCAATGTTGTCAGGTTAGAGAAAGGCAGCCTATCGGACCTCCACCTCATAAGAACCAGCCTCGGGGCTGATGCTGATGGCAAGTCTCTCCCCCATGAAGTTAAGGGGGTCAGATGCCCGCCACGCCACCTCGATTACAGTACCCTAGAGGCAGGGAATCAGGGACCCCTACAGACACCAATACTGGCGCTGGCCAGAAGGCAGAAGGCACCCCTCAGTGCCCATCCATGGAATCAAGTCCGGAAGTCATGCCACCAAGTACCAGCAGTCAGTCACACACAAAACACTACCCCCGGGGTGACACCTCTGATATGAACTATCAACCATCTGCTAGTGGTTGCCAGGGGAGGGAGGGGGTGTGCAGCAGGCACACAGCTGTGGATGGAACAGAAATGGTCACATGTCCCGATGGCTGCAGTGGCCAGTGCACTAGGAGACAGCGGAAGCAGGGATGGGGGTTGGCGTACCCAGGCTCATCAAGGTGTTGCTGCCGCCCCAGTAGTTTGCCTGTCCCTGCTGCTTGGCCAGCGTGTCCTCGATGTGCTGGGAGAGTTGAGTGACCTCTATAATGCTTTGCATCAGCTAGGGAAGAAAATGGGCAGGGGCGGGGCCCGGGTGTTAACACTCATGGCCTGACCACTAAGGGGGTCCGTGGCTACCCACATCAATCTCTTCTCCCCCGCCCCCTCGAGCCATTCAGCATGGTCTCCCACCTCAGGGCCCAGGAAGAAGCCACATTGTCCGGGCCCCCTGATGGCCTCAGGACCCTGTTATGAGCAAACTAGATGGCAGAGTAGTGACTGGGCCATGCTCAATTAAACAGCCCCTCTGCTGAGGATAGAACTGTGCCCAGCTGGCCTGTTGAGGTCACTCGGCAGCCAGAGCCATCAGATGAGGCATAGCCCCAGGGGCTTGGAGAAAGGGCCCTGCATAGGAAGGGTGCATCTGAGAAGGGCCAGAAGCGGGAGGTTGGCAGGATGGCTGCAGTGGGAGGACAGGGGCTTCTTACCTGGCTGCAGGAGGTCAGAGACTGGTACACTGCCTGGATGATGGGGCCGCACGGGTGCAGGCCCGGCTCTGGGCGGTGACAGCATCCCCCCAGTTCGTCATCATAGACTTGCAGGAAGGCCATAATGAGCTGGTGGAAGTCGGAGATCACCAGGCGCAGCTTCTGGTCCAGGGTGCTCAGGTCGCCCAAGGGGGCAGTGGCCCCTTCTTTGCACTGAAAAAGCAGACACAGGTGGAGGAAGCCTAACTGCAGAAGGAGAGCAGCCCCTTCCCCCCAACCCCAGGAAAGAGGAAGTCTTCACCCAGAGGTCCCTGCAGGAGGCCAGAGACTGGGGGCCTGGAGAGGGAGGAGGGATGGAAGGAAAGAGGAGGAGGGAGGCAGGAGAACGGAGGAAAGAAAAGGACAGGAAGTGACAAGCCAAAAAGGAAAGGGAGGGGAGGCTTGGGGAAAGGGAGGCAGGAGGTTGGAAAGAGGAGAGAGAAACAGGAGGAGAGAGGAGGCAGGAGGGGAGGCAGCGGGAGAGGGAGATGAGTGCCAGGAGCGAGCAGCAGGCACACACGCAGAATTTGGAGCGACTCTGGCTCCAGAGTCTGGGCTGGGGTGCACTGGGCTCCCAACCACTGCCCTCACCTCTGCCTTGAGCACCTGGACTTTGGCAGTGCTCTCCTGCAACTGCTTGACCAGATGGGCCATCTGCTTCTCCTCCACGTCCGCCAAGACACTGTCCCTGCACAGGAGGGGCCTGATCAGCTTTCTCTCCAGGGGACCCCAGCCCCCCCAGGGCCAGCCTAGCAGGAACAACCATACTTCTGCTGTTCAGGCACGGGCTGTGCGTCCAGGGGCCACGGGTCACACTCAGGCTGCAGAAGTGCCTGCATGTGCGGGCTGGAGAAGAGGTTGCCCAGTAGCTTCTCATTCTTCTCTTTCAGGTCCTTGAAGTCCTGATCCTCGCTGCAAGGCATAGGCCACTCCATCAGAGGCCCTGCTGGGCTGGGGCCCTGCCTGGAACTGGGAGCCAGTGCCCAGGCCCCTCGGGGATGAACCCAGGCCTCCCCTTTACCTGGCACCACCCAAGTCGCTGAGCCGCAGGCTCTGGATGACAGCCAACATCTGGTCCATGAAGTACAGCTGCTTTTGTGAGCTGGCA